AGAAGGCTCTTTGTTTCCAAGCCATCTTTTGAACGCTGTCTTCGTCTCTTCAGCTGCCAGTTGTACCTCTCGTGTCCACCATGAAGATCTTTTCTGACCTCCAGGCGGCAGGCCATCCCGTTTAAATCCGCAGCATTCAGCGGCAGCCTCGAGTATGGCGCACTTAAAGAGCCGTCACTCGGTTTCCACATCAGTGGTTATCTCAGGGATCTTTTCAAACCGTCTTGCGATGTTGTTTGCAAATTTCGTTCTCTTGACCACCGAAGATGTTTCCCAATTCTAATATAATAATTGATTCTCCGTTTGCTTCTGCCACCAGATCCTCATTTGGTTCTCTATTTCATACAGCGCAGCGTGCCAACAACAAGGTGACGGTAGGTTGATAGCTCTGCGCCTCTCTTAATGCGAACATCCATTACTGAGCGTCTTAGGTCAGACGATACCATTATCAAATCGATCATCGACTTCTGTGCACAAGCTTCCCGGTACCAAATGTACTGACGCACTTTTCGATGCTCGAAGAAGGTGTTCCTAATGGTCAATCCGTTGTTTGCACAAAACCGCAACATCTTCATGCCGTTATTGTTGAGATCTCTAGGGCCGTTTTTTTCCAATCACGTCGTTGCACTCTTCAGCGTCTACTCTGACATGTGCATTAAAATCGCCCATCAGTATGAGGGACTCTGTATTCGGCACTTCAGACGGAGCACACTGCACTTCCTGCAGGAAGGTAAATTTTCCCTTCAAATTGGACGCATAAAACTGTACCAAGGTCAGCGTTTTGCCTGTTTTAGCTTTAGTCGGTGGATTACCTGCATTCCGCTGGCAGGCCTGCAATCAATAATTCTATCCGCGAGGTTTGGTTGTACCAGAACACCAACATCCGTCTGAGCGCGAGTCGTCGACGCCTTAGTAGAATAGCTTCCGTCCATTGATGTTCGGGAGTCTAGAGCCTTTTCGTTTCGTTGACGAAAGTCCAACAGTATCGAGTTGATAGTTTATGGCTTCATCAATTAACTCTTGTTCTTTTCCTCTGAGTGAGGATATGTTCCAATTTCCGACTTTAAGCTCCCACTGGTGATGTCATTCTCGCTGAGCCTTTTCTGGCGTGCTACATTTGCATCGCGCTGTCTGTCTCCTCCGTTCAGAGCGGGTTGCGACTCCGTTGCTGACTCGTTTCTTCGTCGTCGTTTCGTCTTCTTCAGCCGTTGTTATGTTGCTACGGCCCCTGCAGAGGGCAATGAGCAGGTTCTGATCGCCGACTTTTCGCAGTCTGCCTCGGTCCCCCAACAGCCTGCGCGGCCCTTGGTAACCCGGGCGACGACCGAGGCGGTATGATTTTCGAAGGCGTCAGTACCATTTGTGGCGGGTGGCTAAGTGTTACGGAGACTTGCCACGGTCTCCAACCCTCCTCTCTCAACGGGGCTTGGGACCTGCAGCGGCTGAGTTTCACTTAAAAGTTTTTACTGCTTAAAAGCACAACACACACACGGTCGCAACAAACCCCATTTTTCAGCATAGTTAAGACGGGATAAGTAAATTATCAGCATGAAGCAGATAGTGGATAAATGAGATAATATTTACTGTGACTAGAATAAGTACGGAAGATATCATGGAGAAGATTATTGGTAGATGAATCAAAACCGAAACAATACCACACTATGTTACATTGAGCATATATACATGTTGCTGACGGACAGTCTCTGAGTCTTTGAGGGTTTGGTCTGAAGCTGGGTAAATGGATCTTCTGAATTGTTTGGTTCGAGAAGATACGCTGAGATAAGATGATCTGGTGGACGCATTTCGTGATTGGCACCTGCAGGGCTGTCATGCTGATGGTGAGGTATACCGTAATCTTCGTGGCCCTTGTACCGACTGCCGACAGAAGATTTCGTTACAGATATTGCAAGACCTATGTGAAACAGGCCACTTAATTCGGAAGTTAACTTTGGTCGCCTCCTGATGATCTTGAAGTCGCATACTTCCGGACCAGGTAATACGACAGCAGCAGTATATGCACAGAAGGGAATGATACACGCGAAGAAGACGTTTCTACCTGCTTTTGTGGCGTCTGGGGTCCCCTCTGTCTTTTTGCTTAATTGTAGGCCTTGCAGTAGCGCTTCGTTACTGCAAGGACGTGCTCATGTCATGTAAGGTCGGATGAAAGAATTACGCCGAGGTATGTTGTACCTGGGACACAAGCTGACTGCTAATGACAAGCACTTCAGTGGAGAGCTGAACAAGTGCCCACTTTTTTGTGCCTCTTATCATGGGGATCAGTTCCTTCGTATTCTCCGGATTTAGAACGAGTTCATTTGAAGAGAACAAGCTGCAGATTGTGGAGACTATTCTCGTAAGTGTTCCAGTTTTTGGTTATCTACAGACTCAACCATGACTGTGTCGTCAGCAAACTTGATACAGATCGGAGAAGCATCAACCGTGATATGTCATTTACAAATATATTGAATAACAGGGGTGACAGAACCGAATCTTAGACTACACCTAAGTTGTTCGACAGGACCTCTGATTTCTGGCGACTACACTCCACGAACTTACGACGAAGAAACAGATACGTAGCAAGCCACAAGAGAATCGAGCGGTCCACTGAAGTTGCGAGAAGTTCAGCATCAGGCTGTTCGCGCGGGAATGCCCTGAAGGCGGGGGAGAGATGGAAGAATGCTGTCCTTATTATTCTTCCGCCTTTTTTAGGTTCATCGGCAATTTCGTCCGTGACACAGGCAAGGGCATCGTTTGTTCCAAGCTCTCTTCTGTCGTTGATTGATCGTATCCCTCCATGGGCAGAACTGTGTTTCCTGAGTAATTAAGGAGAGCGGAAGTTGAGGCAATGGGTCGGAAAGAATCGAGGTTGACTGCAGTTGATAGGCTCTTATTTGACACTGGAACTGCCGCTACTGTACATCATATACTGGAAAAAGTGCGTTGCGCAGATGGCAGTTAAATGGAAGCTGCACAGCATGGCACAGCTCGGTTGAACAAAGTTTGAGTATGTGTGAGATGACTCCATGGTCCAGAAGATACATTCGAGCGAAGACGTTCGAGAAAGGATCGAACCTTTGCACTGCTAAACTGAACCGAATCGCCCTTTTCGTCTTCCGATAGAACAATTAAGTCACATGAGATCAA